GCGTGCACGCAAGATTTTAACAGGCAAGCTTCTTACTGCAAGGTAAAATATCTCAAGTCGGTGACTTAATGTAATCTGTTGGGATTACAAAGGAAACGTTTAACTAACTGGCATTATGAACTGAACAAAGTGCACTGATATGAAGGTTCTATGGAAATGTTTAGTCTGTGTCTCAACAGAGGGCTGCGTTGTTCAGAGTGCTGTATCCAAACATGTTCAGAAAGTTGACTGGAGGGAATAAAAGTGACAGGAATAGGTACACCAGCAGCAAGGAGAACTGCTGCCTTGAGAGGACTGTCAAGCTAAATCGACTACCCCAAATTTGGGGGAGCCTCACAAGGAGTGGACTTAGGCTTCAAGAGCCACTGCAGCAGTGTCTGACAGCACCCCTAACCCCCACGCCACCCTGCTCGGATATTCTCCATTGGAGAGATGAGCCACTAACACACAAATGGGCAAACAACTCACACACAAATGCAACTCACACACAAACGCAAGCACACACACATATAGAAACTAGATTGAGCCCTAGCTAGTTAAAGAAACAGCAACATGTGTCCTAGTCTGAAGGATTTCTCTCAAACTTCTTCACCAAAGCAAAGAGAGGAGATGGGGGGGGGGGGGGGGGGGGGGGTTTGGGGGAGGCAACCCGCATCATTTCATATGAGCTCATGAGTGTCTGAGCCAGCCGGAGACGTGGCCAAGACTTGGCTGCAGTGCAGTGCCAGTGAAATACTGGCTAACGTCACTAGCTTAGCCAATAGCAGTGGCTAATTCAAATTCAAATGTAGTGGATACTCTTAACCTGAAGAGGGTGCTATACTAAAGGTTTTAGGCAGTTATCATTTATATATGAATATACAGTCTGGTCATGACCCATAGACAGAGATCAGATGTGGGGCGGAAGCTACGGTGGTTTTCAAACTTTCTCCGCATGTTATTGGACAGCCAACCATGTGACATGCTCAAAGTCTGCAGTCCTCCATGAACTCTGGCAGATTACGTAAATACATTCTTTTTCTAAATAAAGGACTTAAGTACATTTGCTCGTGACTAAAGAAAACCACAAGTCTAAATAGTCTAAAATTTATGCCAAAGCTGTTTCAAACGAGCCACCGCCATCTTTGCTGTTTGCATCCTCCTACTCACTAAACCAAAAAAAGCTCTGTGATTGGCATAACACAATACTGCTCAGCCCAATGGTAGACCTGCTGAGGCTCCTATGGAGCATGGCTAGACTGACACGAAGAGCAAAATCATTTGCTTTGTCTTTGTTTGGATTGCCCGAACTGTGTTTTCTCCACAGAGTGGCTGGGTTTTCCCTTAGAGATAGGGTGAGTAGCTCACTCATCCGGGAGGGGCTCGGAGTAGATTTGCTGTTCCTCCACATTGAAAGGAGCCAGTTGAGGTGGTTCGGGCATCTGGTCAGGATGCCTCCTGGATGCCTCCCTTGTGAGATTTTCTGGGTACGTCCAACCGGGAGGAGGCCTAAAGGGAGACCCAGGACACGTTGGAGGGACTATGTCTCTCACCTGGCCAGGGAACGCCTTGGGATTCCCCCAGAGGAGCTGACCCAAGTGGCTGGGGAGAGGGAAGTCTGGGCCTCTCGACTTAGGCTACTGCCCCCGCGACCCGACTCCGGATAAGCAGAAGAAAATGGATGGATGTCTAGATTTTGTAGGCTACTAAAATGCCAAAAATAATAACTACATAGAAAAAAACCAATGGTCTACAACAATATTAGACACTGATTTATACAGTTTATCAGCAAATCAGAGACTTGATTTGGGGATTACTTGCTCTTTAAATCTCAACCAAAGCCATATCACCCAAACACTGATGGATCTTCTTCTGATTGCTTTTGTTGCTGCATTGTCAATTTTATATGTAACTGTTCCGATTCATACAAACACATTAATCTCCATCTAATCTCTCTCTGTATTACTTTGTTTTCATTATGCTCACCAATGGCCTCAGATCCACAGGAATGGGTCAGGTGCATCAGCGTAGCAGCAGTGGATCAGTGCTGGTGATGGATGGCACGTGTGTGTGTGTGTGTGTGTGTGTGTGTGTGTGTGTGTGTGTGTGTGTGTGTGTGTGTGTGTGTGTGTGTGTGTGTGTGTGTGTGTTCAAGCGGATTCTCCATGCATTTAAGTGACACACTTCCCGCTGTGGGGAAGCAGGGGAATGATAACGGATGGGGAGAGATTAGAAGCTTGCATGCCTGACATACTTACACATGTAGAATTACAGTATACCCCAGAACAGAGAGGGTTAACACTCCATTACCACATCACTTAGCTACTCAGACTCAAAACCCATTTGGCTTCATCACCAAATGGACCAAATGGACTCTGTCTCCAGCAGGCGATGCACAGCCAGTGAAACAACAAAGGGTATCTGTCCATTTAGAGGGGACACTCCTGCTCCTCCCCCCACACTTTTCCCCCTCTGGGAATTTGGCACCTTTGTTGGTGCATCTGAATCTTCTCACGCCAACACAAACACGTGTATGGACTACAATATTTATGCCTGTTACAGTGAAACATGATCAGGAGAAAAGGTGTATTAATGTTGGTCCCAAACAAAGATGGTTTCACGATCATTTAAAGCACCTCAAGTCAATGGTGCCTAACTTAAAATCTACATGACGTTTATCGATTCGCTGTTTTTTCACAATCCTCCTGCAGCGGCTTGCTGACACGTCCCAGGAGAGACAAGAGGGCAGAGATAAACAAATGGGTTTTGTTTAGATTCAGCTCCAGCTGTCCCCTTGCTTCCATGTGGCCTGTCAGGTTGGCAATGAGCACGGGTTGTTGCCCTTTTTTGGTGATTTGTCTGTGCATGTGAATTCATACCGCTGGCAGGACATGGATGGATGGGTGGAAGCTTTCCTGGCCTTTTCTGCATTTGCAACAAATCTTTAAATTCCATGCTGAGCTTACCCAGGCCTGCATTTTAGAGCACACAAGCACACACACAGAGAGAGAGAGAGAGAGAGAGAGAGAGAGAGAGAGAGAGAGAGAGAGAGTGAGAGAGAGAGAGAGAGAGAGTGAGAGAGAGAGAGAGAGAGAGAGAGAGAGAGAGAGAGAGAGAGAGAGAGAGAGTGAGAGAGAGAGAGAGAGAGAGAGAGAGAGAGAGAGAGAGAGAGAGAGAGAGAGAGAGAGAGAGAGAGAGATGCTCTTACTCCTGATGTGCTGCTTTCTGAAAACAATCCCTGCAGCTGGAGGAAGGTTTAAAGTGTGCAGCGGACAAAAAGCACCATTTGTTTGGCTGCTTATCTTGGATGTGACAATTCTGCAAGATTTTCAGAGCAATTTAAACAAACTTGGAATGAAGTTCTCTCACTTTGAATTTCCAAAGAGATAGAATGTGAGCAGTGTGTGTGAAGTAGCCAGTGTGGAAGGACAATTCTCTTAGCATAAAGATGAGTCCAATATGTTCAATGTGCCGTAATGCCAGAGTCCCAGCATAGCGGACAGCCCTCTAAAGAGTAACACTGAGAGCTAGTGGTGAATAGAAATACATGCAAACCTTACAAATCATTGTTGACATTTTATTGGCTGTTCCATCTTACAGTTGTCTATAGAGAGGACAGATCAGGTCTTTCCATTTGGCCTTCGTCAATCTAATTTCTGATTTGAAAAAAGTAAACTCAACCTCACCCTGAAGCAAAATAAAACTCAACTAAACTACAGCTTTTATCTTTTTCTCCTGTTGTCTGGACAAAAAGAATAGTAAATGATTTCTGCTCAGCTCTGAACAGACAGCCTTGTACACTGGTTGAGACTGTTTGTGTTAGAATACAGATGCAGAGTTGGTTGGTGTCAAAGGTCTTGAACCTCTCAGAAAGCAGCTGAGGTGTCACAGAGCAGAATCAAGCTAACTTTGTGCACAGGAGCAAAAGCATGGACAAAGATGAGGCGTATCACCTAGATGATTCTGCAACAACAGCTTACTATTTGAAAATACATAGTGTTACAAAAAAAAACTCCTTTGTTCTGCGGGCTTAGAATGGCAACGAAGTGTAATTTGTGCATACTTTTATGATCTTTTTCTTTTGATTTCTGTGTCCAGTGAACAACACAGCAAACTTTCCAGAATAATAAAAATATATAATACATATTTGCAAGTCATTTAAAATTTTCACATTCAAAGTGTATTTAATCCCATCTCAAAGAGCGTAACACATTTTCTGGTTTGTAAAACATGTTTTTATATTTTAATACCAGTAATATCTAATGAAAATGCTACTTTAGAAATAAAACAGCAACACTTACTGAGTGTTGAAGATGTAACTGACGTCTTTTCCTTAAAAAATACACACACGTAAAACTCAATGGGTCCTTTTAATATCAGCAACTGAGCCATAACAATATAACCACTAACAGATCAGGATCCAATTTAAGTTATTATGAAACATAAACACACAAACACGCACGCCCGACAGCAAAAACACTGGTGCAGACTTCACAAACAATAATTGCCAACTTTAGAGAAAACTAAACTTCATGAAAAATAATAACCTCACTGGTGTGTATTATTCAACATTTATCTCAAAAAAATCTGATCTATTAGGCTACTTGCTCAGTTTTTCAAAACAACAACCATAAATAACGCAAAATAGCTAATAAACCATAATAAATGGTGGGTAGAAGACACTAAATAAAAAAAATATATTTTGTTTATTTTGGTGTTTTAATAGAGCACCAATATGTCCTTTACTAAAATAATTCAGTCAGATTTTATGTTTGCGGAAAATCAGGATGAGAAACGGGATCATCCATCATTGTTTCTTATTGTCAAGTACTGACAGTAATTATTCTACATGAGCCAGCTGCTCTTCAGCAAATAAACACTGATCCATTTACCCACGCAGGGGATATGAGTGCAGTCTCCAGCTATCTTTATGCATTCATAGCTAAACTATACAAAAAGACAAGTTTTCCCTGCTCACTGTGAGCTCTGTGCTTAAACCCCACTGAAGTCAGCGGTCTTACCGTTCACAGCCATAGTGGGTCTGCGCGTGGATCTCTCCGTGGTGTCAACACTCTCTCATTCTTCCGCCAGACAGATTAAAAGCAGGCTGCAGGAGAAAACGCGCCTCTTGATCCCTTTAACCTGCTATGTGAGCATGGAGGAGGCTCCTGTTGTAGCCATATCTAATGAAATTTTAAAATATGTATTAAAGAAAAGGAAGAAGATGAATACCAGCTCTCTCTCTCTCCGCCTCTCTAACTGCTCACCGCCGTTTTGTTTCTCCGGGACGTCGGGACCGGTCAGATATGAAGCGGCTCCCTCCGCTTGTCTCCGCCCCCCTCTCCGTACCTGCCTGCCGGGAGACAGAAAGGTCAACACGCCCCTACAGCAGCTGAGACTGGAGCCATAAAACAACCCCCACGAGCACACTGCATACACGTTAATACACATATTAAGTGTTTAGGTATTTAAAATAAAACTCGTGCTTTTATTCTGAAAACCTTATCAGAAAAATGTGTTAAGTAGCCTATGGGGTGTCCAAACTTTTCAAGGGTTATTATTACTTTTTAATAATGTGGATTTTTTTTGTACTCATTAGAAAAACAAAAATATGCTAATTAATCCAAACAGATAAGGGCTAGACAGCGTCAATTTCCAAATAATTTTACAAAATTAATCATTCTGAAAATGGCAGGTGGGTCAGACAAGTTTGCTTCAATTAAGCCCACAAAAAGAGAAAGAAAACGATATTTTCTATAGCGCCTCTCAAGATAAAAATCACGAGGTGTTTCACAAAAACAAATAATTTAAAATATGAAAACAATTTTTAGAAAATGATTAAAAATAGGTTTAAAATAAGCAAAAATAGACAATTGTGATAAAAAATGCAAAGAAAGAGTGAATAAGAGAGGAAAATCGGCAAAATAGGTGTGGAGAGCAGAATAAGGAGAGGGTGGTGATGAAGGTCACGCAAAAGCCAGCCTGAACAGGTGAGTTTTCAGCTGCTTCTTAGAGACCACTGAGTCCTCAGGCTCAGGGGGTGTGCTGCACAACCATAGGCTTGACAAATGGCCCCCCCTGGGCCACAATTTGGAAATGCTGGTGGATGTGAAACCCGCACCTTTATTATTTTAGACTTGTATTGCTCTGAGGATGAAGGTCATGAGAAAACCTCAACAAAGTATAAATATCAACACTAAAATGGTCAAATGGCTACATGTTGCAGGTCATTGAACTGATACCAGTAAAATGTTTTCTGACAATTAAGATTTTGTGTAATTGAATATTTAATTAGAATTATTTTTTAATGCACATCAAGCATTATAATGAGCTGAGAAGAGAAAAAAAGCCATTTAAGGTTTAAAAAAATATATAATAAAGGCTTGGTACAAATGCATGAAGGAAGTGGTTTTCTGGTGACTGGGGGGTCTTTTTGATCTATTTGTTTTGACTCATAAACATTCAAACATTCAAATAAGCAAATCTCATGAAGCATTTCATAAAGATTTTAGCATATTTTAACAATGTTAAAAAAATGAATTCCTAAATATTTTATTTGTTGTATATGTTTGTGATGTCCTGTATGCCCTCATCATAGGATTTCTGTCTGCTTCGCGGCCAACACCAGTTTTCCCAGTTTCACTGGTGGTGGATTTGTTTCCCAGTTTAGCAGCTGACTGGTTCCTTTGAAGAGCAACTGAGCATCACACATTGGTGTATTTTTCAGTAAAAGAAGACAAATAACACTGTTGGCTTTATATCTCCTAACTGAACTTGTTATGAATTTAATTTCCTCTACTTGAACAATCTAACAGCTTTTTGTAATAGATAGCTTCATGGAAAATCTGTATTTATCACCCATTATTGTTTAGCAGTTATCGAGAGTTTTTTTTAATTAGACATTAGGTTGTACTGCTGCTCAGGTTGAATTACAGATTAAAGTGCAGTGAAGTGAAGTAATTATAGAAGTGTCAGCTCGAAGGGGGAAAACACTGCATGAATTAACATCATAAAAAGCCTGGTGACAGTAAAATAATGGAATTTAGACTCGTAACTTCTTACTTTCTCTTATGTTTCTACAGTTTGTCTTTGTTTCAATCTAATTCAGTTCATGAGAAATTTGAATTGTTGCTCACTGTATGCAAAACTGGTGGTTTTACATTACCGAAACTGTTATTTTTTTTTTTTTTAGCTTCTATTGTGTTCAGTTTTTCTTGGTAAACTGTTGTATTATAGAATTTTTTATTAGGGGTTGGAATGAGCATAAACCATGTCATCCTTATAGGGTCTAACAAAGAAAGATATAATTGTCTTTGCAAGTTCAAATCCAAAGCTTGGTTGACCCCACAAATAGCTTTTTCCATCATGGGAGAAGAAGTTGATGTGGTGGAGGAACATAAATAGACTACTCTGGTGTTCACCTGCACAGAGAGACACAACAGTTAAGCTCCAAACTGGAGGCAGCTCATGTGGAGAGTACAGTCTCATTTGCAGTCATCCGTTGGGGCAGCATCAGAACCAGTAGACTGGTTCTGTTCTGAGAATTGAAATGGAGCCTCCATCCATCCATTTTCCTCCGCTTATCCGGGTTTGGGTTGCCAGGGCAGCTGCCTAAACAGAGAGGCACAGACTTCCCTCTCATCAGCCACGTGAGCCTCCTACCTCTGTTCACCACGACAGACTGGTACAATGCCAACCACTGCAGATGCAGCACCAATTCGCCCATCAATCTCACACTTATCTTTCCCTCACTAGTGAACAAGACACTGAGATACTTAAACTACTCCACTTGGGGCAGGACCTCATCCCTGACCCGGAGACGGCATTCTTCCCTTTTCCAAATCAAAACCATGGTCTCAAATTTAGAGGACCTGATTCTCATCCCAGCTGCTTCACACTGTTGTGAACCACTCCAGCGAAAGCCAGAGGTCACGGTCTGATGAAGCAAACAGGACCACATCATCTGCAAAAAGCAGAGACCCGATCCACAGGCCATCAAAACAGATGCTCTCCACACCTTGGCTGCACCTGAAAATCCTGTCCATGAAAGTTATGAACAGAATCGGTGACAAAGGGCAGCCTTGGCGGAATCCAACACTCATTGTGAACAAGCTCGACTTACTGCCGGCAATGTGGACCAAGCTCTGACACCGATCCTAGAGGGACCTAGCAGCTGGTATCAGAGGGCCTGGTACCCCATACTCCAGTAGTATCCTCCACAGGCCCCCCAGAGTGATGCGGTTGAATTCCTTCTTGAAATCCACAATATGCATGTAGATTGGTTGGGCGAACTCCCATGCACCCTTCAGGAACCCCTTGAGAGCATAGAGCTGGTCCAGTGTTCCATAGCCAGGACAAAACCCACATTGCTCCTCCGCCTGAATAGACCTTACCAGGGAGGCTCAGGAATGCGATCCTCCTTTAGTTGGAACACGCCCTGTGGTCCCTCTGCTGAGGCTGTTTTACTGCATAAAAACCATCGTAGTCTTCCATTGTCTTTCTTGAAAAGCCGGACTTGAGATAACTGTTTGCATGCTTCTAATTTCAGCTTGTTTGGATTTTGCAGTGAGCAGTTTTAAAAATGTGCCCACTGTGCTAATACCCAGCAGATGCATATATGCAGTGCATCTTCAGGTCCCACTGTTTGTTTCACCATCAATTTCTTGACCTAAGTTTGAGGGCCTCTGATTAGATGGATAGATTTGAATGAATTATTTGCTGCCTGACCCAGATATAGTATCTTTCTTTGTGCAATACTTTCACTTAGGGAAAATTGTTACATGAAAGTTTAATCAGCATCGAAATTCAACATTTAAACTCCAGAGGTGTGGACTCGAGTCACATGACTTGGACTCGAGTCAGACTTCAGTCATTATTTTAATGACTTCTGACTTGACTTGATCAAATCTATGAAGACTTACGACTTGAATCAGACTTGAATGCCAATGACTTGGGACTTGAATCGACTTGCATCTGTTGACTTGATGATGACTTGAGCATATTTAATATTTTAGCACAAAAGTGGCACAACATGGACAAAAGTCTGGGTTTGATCTTGTACGGCTAAATGCAGCAGCTCTTTGTTTATAATCTGTTTCGGTTGCACTTTCTGCTTGTTTGAGCAAATAAATGAAGCTTTAAGAAGCTTTATTTCTGGAATTTATTTATTATCATGGTCATTAAGTTGAAGTTGGACAGATGACTTGATTATGACTTGAAAATTCAAAGTTAAGGACTTGGACTTGACTTGGACTTCCACATCATTGACTTTGGACTCAACTTGGACTTAGTTGTCTTTGACTTGGACTTGACTCGAGACCTGACTGGAAGGACTTATGACTTGCAAAGAAGTGACTTGGTCACACCTCTGTTAAACTCCACCAACCAATAATTACAACTTAAACAACATGAAAGGGAAGATGGTTCATGGAATGATAAAGCAACTCAAATTACCGAACCAGATTGTTCAGGGAAAGAAAAGGTGCAGAAAGGTCAAGCTACAGTTACAGCAAAGGTTCGATTCACTGAGACACATATGAAATTTGTTCTTTTTAAAAGATCGGTCACTTTGAGTTGCATTTCATGCTGAACATGAAAAGACCCTTCAACCCTCACTGCCTGCATCAGCCACAGAAAGATGGGGAAATGCTCAGGTCAGGAAACGGGAAACCAGCTCTATGTTACACTGTAAAACGCTCATTCATGGGCTCACCTCGGCTTGCGATTGCAGGAGGTTGTAGCCTTCTTTCCACCAGACTTGAAAGCATCGCGAAACATCTCTCACTGCAATTAGCCGCCATTGTAGTGGACGGGCAGCAATATGTAACGCTTTTCTAGGCGTCCCAGAAGCAAAGGAATGCCATCATTAGTTTTGAGTCTATTTTTTTCTCGCTACGCTTCCAAAACACATCAAACTCCTTTGTTTAGATCGGGCCCGACACTAAGTCAAACACAAAGCAATGTAAAACATCTGTAAACTTTCAAAATAAAAGTCATGTGCAGATAAAGGCATCAGTTCCTGTGAAACCCACCTAGTCAATGTAAACAAAACACAAAATAAACCACAGACCTTTTTGTATACATGCAGCTGTCTTTGTCCTTGCTTGTTACTATGTGGACTTTTGAAATCACATGTGGTGATTTCTACTGAATTCTACTGTGATTTTGGGAGACCAGCGGCATAAAATGCTTTGTTAACTGTTTCATTGAGTAAGACTCCAAAGCCTGCTGTTTTCCACTGCTGCACTCCTCTAATTAATTTCTATTTCCTGTAAGGAGCGCCAGGAGCTTTATTT